CTGATTTTTTTTATAATGGCAAACTAGTCTTGAACTACACTGAGAGAGCTGTAGAGCAAGTGTGATTAGTGGTGGAAGCAAGACAGCAAATGCAAGAGGGAGTTCATGACAATATTTATCAAACATGAAGCATAATTTTGATGCTCTTTTGCTTCTGGTTCAGTGAATTTAGTCAGACAGTGATACAACCTGTAGTTTCAGAATCTGTGAGATGTCGACTTTCAGCACCAGACGGCAGGTCAGCGCGTTATATTTAAATATTTTGGCGGAATCTGTTTGCCTGCTCTTTAATCATTATTGTGTTATTCAAAATACAACACATTTCAATCAGGGAAATTTATTTTTTCAAACCACCCATCATCAAGCCTTGAAACCTGGTGCGACTAACTCCTACAAGTGTTCCAACCTTTCTGAATTACTTACAAACTGCTCTGTCTGCATAAAAGCAGTGTTGGAACACACTGTGGTAAGATATCCTTATGAGCATCAGTTGAACATTATTGTACTGCAGAAAGTGATGTTTTGCCACAAAAAAGGTGAGGAACAAGGCAGTTAACTCTAGAAGAGAGAAATAGCAAAGAAAGTCAAGGGGTCAATGAATACATTTTCCTTCACCATTCAAAAGCCCTCAGAAACTGGGACAACTCTGACAGGAAGAGGTCTGGCAGACCCAAAGCCACAACTGAATACCAGGACAGGTTTCTGAGAGTTGACAGGTTGTGTAACAGCTGAGTCACAGGACAAAAGCTTCAAGCACATAAATAGTGGTCATAGTAATCAAGTGTCAGTTGCAACAGTGAATAGAAAACTTCAAGCTGCAGGTTTGATAGGATGAGTTGCAGCAAGAAAGCCAATGCTGAGGCATCAGAATAAGAAGAATCAGTATAAGAGGTTTCCCTGAGCCATGAAACACTGCCATTGAATTACGGAAGACTGGAAGGTATAATGAATCAAAATTTGAAATCTTTGGTTCATCACGCAGAACTTGTGCAGCACATATGGAAAGAACTTTTTGAAGAATATAAAGAATAAAACAGGTGTGTTCAGCTGTTTTATCTGCCAGGCCTATAAATTGATTCCATGATTTCTTTGTTTAACTCCAACTCATTATTTATACTATGGTTTCGTTTCAGAGTGCAATGAAACACTAAGCTACATAATTTTCAATTGAAAAAAAATTCAGAAATTAGGGTGTTCTACCACTTTTGACCGGTAGGGTACGCTTCCACTCAAAAGTTGGACACACACGCTCATTTAATGGTTTTTACTTTTACTAATAAATTTTACTAATTTCTACTTTATAGCTATATACGTCAAATATATGAAGCGAGATAAAAGGAATTATGTGGCAAAGAAAACAATAATGAATAACTGTAAAATATATTATGTCTTATATTTTAGACTCAAAGTGACATCAAATAGATATTCATTTTTCCATTCAGTGTGGGTATGTACCACAAATATATATTTTTTTAAACAGAAGCAATGTTTTCGAAGTATTTCGGTGACAAAAGAAAGATTAGAAACATTAAGGAATACTAGTTGCTTTACATTATTTTTCTTTAGCAATGATTTGTCCCACATTTGGTATAAACTGGCAAGATGCCAGTGTGTGCAGGATAAATGTTATTATTACTAACAATAATCATAATAACAGCAGCTTAATGTCTGTAGGATAATGGTGGTGATTTTTATTTTTGTCACCTTTTATGAAGAACAGATGTTTCTCACTGCAGTGGCTGAGCTGCTCCTCCATCAGACTCTCCTCCTCCCATCAGTCGCCTGTGTCATCAAACAGATCTTTATTTTT